TTCAAAAGCAGTTGTAAAATTAAAGCCTGTTGGCAGTTGGCTTGATAGCTCAGTTGGTAGAGCACTGCACCAGCATCGCAGAGGTTGTGGGTTCGAATCTCGTTCAAGCCTGAATTCTTTTCAGCCTTTACTTTCACAACTGCTCTTAAAGTTGTGTGAATAACTATGATGATCAACCTGATTTCTGTGTCAAATCAGAGAGATGTTATCCTCTAATTTAGCTCAAGCCTCTTCAACAAAACAAGCAGCTCTAATTTAGCTCAAGCTCTTGCAAAAAAGAAAAGCAGAGAGCAAGTTGCTCTCTGGATGAAAACACTGGTGAATTACGTACATTTTCTGGAATCATAGGCTCTACTGGCTTCATATAGTAATTGAGAAAATCAGTAATTGTTTCCCTAAAACTAAAAAGGAAATAAAAAGAAAATATCATTACACAAAATGATTGACAATTATTACAAGTTTGATATTTGTAACAATAATTAAATAACCTTGACTGAATTAAGTTATTAGTAAACATAGTTTTTAAAAGTCATACAAGTTTATTATGTAAGGGTTAGCTGGTGACTCTGACAGCATTTTATGAGTTATTGGGTATCTGTACCTTAAATATTTAAATATTAACAAATATTTTAAATAATAATAATATTAATAATTATAAATTAATATGGTCCCAGACACTATTAATGGACCCTAATAATACCTATTTCTCAGACAGCTGCTTGCTTTTTTATTATATCTAAGAGACAAGATCTTCTTGAAAGTTCCAAAAATGCTAGTACTCTCTAATCAAGGATTCCAATTTTTCAAACTAGAACTGAATAAATACAGCAAGAAAAGCCTTCAAGTAAGAAGTCAGCTTCGAAAGCCCTCTTTTAGACAGTATATAGCATCTTTGATTCAACTTACATGTATCAGGAAACTGAGACAAATATAATGTTATTATTAAAATATTAAAATTAAAATGTGCCAGTAAAATTACTGGCACATTGGACTGGATTTTTACTAACAGACCCAAGCTATTTGTTCTATCACAGCTTCCAAAGGTCGGATCATCGGATCATTACACTATCTTAGCTAAACCAGTATCCGCCCCTCTCACTACCCAAACAACAGAGAAAATTGTTGTGCGTGAAAATTGTTGTGAGTTACTACCTTTACCCCAAGGAACTAAATTGGGTGTAAACACGGAGAGCTAAAAGTCGTGGCGGCCATCTTGGCACGTATACACGGTTTATCAATACTTGTAAACATGCAGGCCTGCACGACAAAGAGAGTAGAGGACTTTTTTACATTTAAATATTTTTTGT